TTACGAATATACCACTTACAAATACATGGATCCTTTTCTCTCCTGTCTCGTGCCTTTTTAGGTGGTACAAAAAAATCCGGAATGAGAACACCTATACTGACGGACCATGAACACAAAATCTCAAATTGACTTGAGAGCGGGATCCCATTTGTGTATTCCAATGAGATGAGAATGATCCCTTCAATGCCGTCTGTTAGCTCAATCAATAAGGGATGCCGCTTTCTCATTGGCCCTATTGGTAGCTCTTTGTATCCATCTCGTCAACAGTTCTTCGAAGAGAGGAAGAGGCTAGTAGTTCCACTCAACTATTTTGAGCCTTTAATTGTTGGTGGGGTTGCCTGATGATAGAACAAATTTTACTCCAAGTGCATGAACTACTAGGTTTGGAAGCAACAAGCCATGTTAAACGAGACTTTCCTGGCAACGGATAAAAGATTGCGAGGTACTTTGATAGCATAAAAAAGGTACCTTCTAGCTCAACTTTGTGATCTAGCTCACGATATTTACAGAAGCTTCACTCCCTTACAGAAGCCCTTCGGGACACTCAAATGCACCTATGAACTCACTCAATCAAAAGTCAGTGGACTTGAATTGAATCATAACTATATAAGCTATTTTGATGTTTAGATTCAATATAGGTGAAATTGTCTTTATACCGGATTAAATCAATGAAATCGACTGATTGAATCTATAGCCTAATTGAACACATCATTGAGGGACAACCCTATAGCCAACGGGGAGGATGACACCACTGGCAAAGACTGACCAACTCGAAGAAAAGCCATGCATAGAAAATCTTCAATTGGATCGAGTCTCACTTCCATAACTTGGTAGGTAATTTCTCTCTTTAGCAACTAAACTCGGGTGGCCATCCATCATCTAGGTAGAAAGGTTGGGAAATCAAAGGTCCACACAAGTTGGACTTGCAATTGAGTACAAATTAAACTTGCATCCATGCATAAGTTGTATTATATTTTAATGTTTATTTTTGTTAAAACTAATTTATATTTTATTTGTCGAACGTAAATGTCAAAAATATTTTTTAAATTTCAATATTTATTTTCATTCCAAAGATAGAATTATATGAGGGTAAACTATCAATAGGTCATAATAGTTGGACTTAATTCCCATAAAGTCCTATTGAAAATAAGTTCTAATATAATCATTGCTAAAAATAATTTTTTGTGATGATTTTTAGCATGTCGCTAAAAATTGACAATTAGTGACTTTTTTTTTTTTTGATCACGGTTTTTTATAAATTGTCACTAAAACTTATAATTAGTGACGTTTTTCTGTGACGAAATTTTCAAATTATCATTAAAATTTGAAAATTAGTGACTTTTTTTTGTGAAGATTTTTTTAAACAGTTGCTAAAACTTATAATTAGTGACATTTTTTGTGAAAAAATTTTCAAACCGTCGTTGAAAATTAATAATTAGTGATTTTTTTTAATAGTGTTTGATGAAAAACACCATTAATTACTATAGGACTTATTGGATAATAAGTCCACTTATTAGAACCTACGTAAATATCCCATTATAAGAAAATGATGAGCACCTTATCTTTTTTACCAAATTAGTTTTAGTTTTTCTAGAAAGAAGAGCGAAAAATATTTTTTGTGCTAAAATATGTGACTTTTTTGGGGGGCCTAATTTTTAGTGCCATTTAAAATTTTTTTTTTACTTTTTTTGGGGGTAATTTTTATTATCTCTTAAATAAAATTTTATTTTAAAAATATATAAATTATTGTAATTTTTTAGAAAGCTATCCATAAAACTAATTTATAATAGCATTCATCTTGCTTGGTTTCTAGTTTTCCGAAACACTTTTCGGAAAATTTTACTTTCTTATTTTCCGTGTTTTTTTGTTTTTACTGAATTTTTTTAATATTTTAAGCATTTTTTTTACTTTTTAGACACACCTAACATAAATACACCTAAAAAGTAAAAAAATTGTAAAAAAAATCATTTAAAAATTCGCTAAATACCAAAAATATAAAAAAAAAAATACAAGAATTCAGTACATTTTTTGTATTTTTATGTATTTATTAATTTTTTAAAATATTTTTCACAAATTTTTTACTTTTTAGATACATCTAAGTAAGGTGTATAAAAAAAAAGTAAAAAAAATGTTTAAAATTTAAAAAATATTCACTAAAAACAAAAAAACACAAAAACCAAAAAAGTCAATTTTCAAAAAACTTAATTCAGAAAACTCAAACCAAACACAGTGATTTGCATTGGGGCACAATTTGGTTTAGTTTTCAATTATTTTATTTATTTATTTATTTATTTATTTTTTCCCCTTCAAAAGAAATGTCAAACTAGTTTGGTGAATAAAATGGAAAAAAATATTAGTTTCATATGATTTTCTCTGTTTTGGAACAAACGTAATTTTTGAGAATTTGAAAAATATAATTGTTGTGTTTATTTTTGCCAAAGTAGTTTTTATTTATTTATTAAAAAAAACATAATTTGAAAATGTAAAGTAATTAATTTTTATTTTTTGCTCTTATTTTAAAGGTATGGTCGATATATTTTTAATGGTTCTAAAGCAACTCAAGATTCCATGTATCCGTAATGCTTTTGATCTATGAAGCACTGACACGTCCCTAGGCTTTACGTACGAGTGTCGGACACGTGTCGGACACGGACACGGACACGTAGTAGACACGTGTCCGACACTCTCTCTAACGTATCCCTTTTTTTTTTTTGAAATTTTTCAGTCGAACACGCCATGGACACGCCGGGACACTTTCCGGACACGCATGAATGGATCGAAGAACCCTAACTGTTGCAGAGGAGACGGAGACAGAGAAAGAGAGAAAGAGATCGATGGAGACAGAGAAAGAGAGAAAACTGTTACAGAGGGGACAGAGAAAGAGAGAGAGAGAGAAAGAGATCAAAGGAGACAGAAAGAGAGAAAGAGATCGAGGGAGGAGATGAGACAGAGAAAGAGAGAAAGAGATTGAGGGAGAGGAAAAAGCCTAACCTGTCAATCGAAGAAGCTGAGGAGGTGGTATTCTTCTTCTCTCTTCTTCTTCTCCTTCTTCTCTTCGTCTTCCCTGTTCTTCTTCTCTTCATTTTCTTCCTCTTCTCCTCCCTTTTGTCTCTGCTTTTCTGACTCTATCTCTTTATCTTAGCCTTTTTGATTTCACTTTCTCTCTCCTTTATTGTTTCTCTTTTTTTTATTTTTTTTCTCTTTTTCTTATCCTGTTTCTCTCTCCCTCTTTTCTTCTTTCTTTTTTTTTTTTATCCTTATTTTTTTTGTTAAACCTAAAATTTATAAAATAAATTATTTTTATTTAAAAAAAATCATTTTATTAAAAAAAAATTAAAAAATATGTTTATTAATTTATTATTATTGTAATTGTATAAGAATTAATGATTTTCTTTTTATTTTAGACATATTTTAAATAAATAAAATTATATATACTAAACGTGTCCCCAGCGTGTCGTGTCCCCCATTTTTTGAAAAATTGCGTGTCGGTGTCGTGTCCCGTGTCCGTGTCCGTGCTACATAGCTTTTGATCTTCTCATTTGTAACGTAGTTCTATAAAACTTTCCACTGATTGGTAAATATTTACCTATTTCCCGTTGTTCTGTAGTTTTTCCAAAATAAAACCCTACAAATAAGAAACGAACTAAAAAAGAAAAATAAAATAAAATTCTTATATTCTTCAATTTGTTATCATTCATTGCCTTTCCAGTCCTCATCAGTGCCACATTTGTGTTACCTGATCGGCTTTTTTGGGCTTGGAAAGAACTTAATCTTTTCGAATTTGTTGCTTTAGGTATACAAATTGTAGGTAATCTCTAGATCTAGTTGCTGGTGGAATTGAAGCTTCTCCCCCAAGATTTATAGTAGTTCTTCTTCGTCTTCGTGTCTATTATATTCTATAGACATTTCCCCTCCGGTCCTAGTATTGGTGGAGCCTGAAACAAGACAAGGGAACAAAGAAATTAGTGTTTGGTTAGATTTGGACTCTAAACTATTTCCTTGTTGGTTAAGGTTTTGTTCTTATTTTAGGCTTTGGTTTCCTTATTAATTTAGGATTAGGTTTAAGGCTAGCTCTATAATACACCCATGTAGCTCTATGTTTTTTAATTCATTCATTAGTTTTGTAATCTTAGATAGAGATGCACAATAGTGAGAGTGAGAGATAGATCATTGTAGAGATAGCTTGTGAGATTGAGTGTGAGAGACTCTTGTAACTCCTTTCATATTGATCTTTGTAAATCCGCAGTTACTCCGTGGACGTAACCCGTGATTTGGGTGAACCATGTATATCTCTTGTGTTGCTTTTGTGAGTTTGATTTCCTGTTTTATTTCTTTGTTTTAGATTCATTGTGTGTGATTGTTTGCTCAAGTCCTAGAGTTTGGTATTAATCATATATACCATAACAAGTGGTATCAGAGTGTTGGTTCCTAGAGTAAGAATGATGGCAGAGGCAAAGTGAAGATCCAAAAATTCAGCGGTTCATTGTTTGGAATATTTTGTACATATCAAAAAGATCACTCATTGTCCTCTGACATGTTTATTTTTCCTTTCAGAAGCATAGATTATCAAGATGCAGAGTTCTTTTTATTATTTATTATTTTTATTTTGGAAAGTACTTGAACTTGGCCATTGTTGCATAGACCACTATTCTTTGTTGAATGAATGCCCATTTCAGTACTTGTTGCATAGTTTTTGCAGCAGTCAAAGATGGAACAAGAAATTAGTATGATGAATGAGTGGAGCAATTATTATCCTTCTTAATTACTATGTTGTTGATGGATTTCTAGTACTCCATAGTGCATTGATCTGGACCCAATTTGCTGTGTTTTTATTTCCTTTAATTTTTTTATTCTTTGATTAGAGAAAGGAAGAATAGTTTTCTTTCATATCCAATACCTAACAACTGATTAAATTCTCAATTTGAGTTCATTCTGTTAATTGCTACTATGTCAACTAATAAATTGCTTTAGATTGTATTCTTATAAAATTCTCTCTGCAGACCGAAATGGCCTTCTTCTTCATTTGTTGCATCAGATGGATTGATTACAGCCATGGCTTACCGCTTGCCTCATGTGGTATGTTCCAGAAATTTCAAAATTATTAATTGTTTAGTAACTGCAACATTTTGATTTTACTCAAGCTGTCCATGATTGGAGGCAATGACACCTTTACTCCTTAGGTTATGGGGGACAGGTCAGGAAACATACGGTGGTGGGATGTGACAACTGGGCAATCTTCATCATTTAACACTCACAGAGAAGGAATCCGGAGAATCAAGTTTTCACCTGTTGTTCCTGGAGATTGTAGCCGTGGGCGTATTGCTGTACTGTTTTATGACAATACATTTTCTGTATTTGATCTTGTAAGATGGAAAAATGGCACTAATTTCATTCTGTCTTTCATTTGTGTGCCTGTGTGCATGCATGCATGCGTATGGGTTGTTATCTTCACCATCTGCATATATATTATGTAATTTGTAATAGGTGATCTTAGCATTTGCCAAGTGGACTCGTTACATTGAAACACATATTGCCAACCTGAATAGGAAACCATCACTTTATGCATATGCATCGACTTATTGAAACTGAAGCCTCTTTGAAATAGTAAAGAAAGGAAAAAGAGTGCTCCTTTAATTTACCGCAACATATATATTGATATCTATATACATATTTTGATATTCTAGTAACCTGTTTGTTTTTTTATTGTTCATTTGTTGGACTAAGCTTTCTATTCCTGAATATTTTTGAGTTTTGAAATGAGCTTATTCAAAATTAGTGCGTGGAAGTTGCATATTTTGTTGAAGCCGGAATTGATTTAAAATGAAGGCCTTTTGTCCGCACTTAATGGAGGATATTTCTTTATAACGTGGTTGTGATATGCAGGATTCACAGGACCCTTTAGCCAATTCCCTTTTACAACCTCAATTTCCGGGAACCCTTGTACTGGAACTTGATTGGTTGCCTTTGCGTACTGATAAGAATGATCCACTAGTGTTATGCATTGCTGGAGCTGACAGTAGCTTTCGCCTTGTTGAGGTTAATGTGTACGTGCCTCAATTCAATTAAGCTTTCTTTTTTCTCTTTTTGATTTTTAAAGCTCATGTCTTATGTCTTTACTTTTTGTGCGGTTGATAAATGTGAGGTCACAGGATACAGGTTAAGTAACATATTTCCCCTTTCCTGGGTGGAGCATTTTCTTCTACATTTGGCAATTAACAGTAACTTTAAAACAAGAGCCTTGCATTTCATATTAGACAGTTAATTTTGGATGGAATGCTAATTTTCTTACCACTGTCGCTTTTCTCCTGACCAAGAGGTCTGCATCCAAAGTGTTAAGACCTAGGCACCCAGGAAAGTATGCAGCCGAAAACTCCATATAGTTTCCTTAGTCCTGTATAGTTAGTTACAAATTATTCCTTTTGTTCTAGCATCCATGTGTCTTGAAGTAGGTAGACATCCTAGGTTTGGACGAGTGATGTAAGACGTAACTAGAAAGCTTTGAGTTATGCAGCATATAGTTGGTTTTGCGGTGAGTTTTGGGTATGGAGAGCTGGTAGGTGGAGGGTTTTTTAAGTTAGAAGAAATATTTCAGGGTTTATGATTTTTAGTTGCAATTGGCGAATCATTTATTTTTGGATTGCCCGTGGTATTGAACATATGCATCGATTATTTCACTTGACTGGTTCTTTTTCGGTTGCTCTAGGTGCTAGTGCTCAAATGCTCTTAATTGATTTTCGGTGCTTTGGAGGTGACAAGAAAGCAAAAACATTGTGGTATTGTGTTGTATTTGCTATCTTTTGGATTATTTGGTTGGAAAGGAATGCAATGATGTTTGAGGATAAGGTTGCAGACTTGGATTGATTATGAGATAGGGTGTGTCATTTGGCTTTATTTTGGGCTTATGTCGCTCCTAGGTTTGAAGGGGTCTTGCTGTTTTTGATTTCCAATGACTGGTGAGTTGTTTGTGAATCTCAGTGTCTTTTGTTTTGTTTGATAGTGGTTTTTTTTTTACTTGTAAGAGGACTTCTTGTCCTTGCCTTATGCCTTCATTTTCTTTATCAATAAATACTCTTTTGTTGCTAATCAAAAAAATAAAAAATAAATAATGAAATTTCAGAGCTCTAGTTGTTTGAACTTCTGGATGAAAAATCTTTAGAATTTGGAATATTGATTTGAAAGTCAAAGGGGGGAAAGTGTTAGGGTTTATGGTATTGTTGGCAAACCGTTTATCGTGTTGCTAAAATAGTGAATCGTGAATCATAAGATTCACTTTATTTAGCATATTATATAATTTTATATATGTACAAAAAAAATAGTGTTAAAAATTAAAAAGCACAGACACTTTTAAGAAGGTGACGTATCCATGTGGTATCCGTGTTGGACACCGACATTCTTTGGACACTTCCCTGACACGTGTCTGATATTCTTTAAAACGTGTCTTATTTTTTTAATATTTTTTAAAGATTCGGACACTCTTTGGACACTTGGAGGACAAACGTGTGTATCGCTTAAACATACGTGTCTATTGATTAGACAGATGTGAAACTAATTATAAATTTGAACAAAACAACTTAAGATACAATAATAAAATAAAAATCATATAAATTTATTGAAATTAGTGTCATATTGCATTTTTTATTATCTTTGAATGATATATTCATATATATAACATATAATATGACATTTTTATTACCTTTGAATGATATGTTCATATATGTAACATATAATAAATACATAAAATTATATATTTCATGCGTGTCCCCCACGTGTCGTGTCTTGCATTTTTTGAAAATTAGCATGTCGGCGTGTCTGTGTTCATGTCCGTGTCCGTGTCCATTCTTTTTAGATTAAAAATGAAATAAATATCTTTTTTTTTTGTTTAAAAATTTTGTGAAATCGACACCATTTCATGCATTATGCAAACAAAACTAAATTGCTTGAATTGCAGTGAATCACAATTGAATTGTATGATTCACTCAAATTATGATTCAGTTGCACAAATTTAATCGTTTTGCTTGAAATTCGTATCGAATCGTGAATCGTAAGAATTTGACAATCATGGTTGGTGAGAGCTTTGTAGGGAAGGGTTTTGGTGTTGATTATGGGTGCTGCTTTGGGTTGTAAACAGTGACTTGCAGATAGTGGCATGGTGTTTACGTGCAAAGGATTAGAAGAACATGAAAAAGGACATATGAATCTCACCTAGAATCCCAATGTGGTTGGATTGCATTATCCATCGGCAACCTGAAAGTCTCATACTGAAGTATACGGCTTAAAACTTTTCAGGCTAGTAGGCCTTGCTTACTACTACTAGGTGGACTAAAGACTTGAAGCAGAAAACCTAGAGATTTTTAAGTACTAATACCATGCTTTTACATTAGATACAGTAAAGCAATTTAATCCAAAATAGAATGTAATTTAGAAAAAAAATCTATCACTGACCCCCATTTATGTCCATCTCCATAAATCTTGAGATTATCAAAAAATCGGTGACTCGTAAAACTCAATGAAGCAAAAATGAAACTTTAGGAAAACCAACAAAAAAATAAAATTGGGACTCAGATGAAGGCTTGATGAAATTCCAAATGTTGTGTGTTTGAAATTCCAGTTTACCCCTTCTCATGTTTTTATGCTCTACATCCAAGATTTGTTTATGGTCTATTTATTTATTCTATTTTATTTTTATTTTTTTTTTGAATGCAAATTTAGGAGAATATCTTTGACTAATCTGGTCAATGCTTTGGATGGTGCTCATGTACCAAATCAGAGTGAGAGGTGGTATAGGCTTTGAGGGGCTGATGAAGCCATAAGCCCTCACATAGTAAACAAGTTTGTAACATCTTAAACCCTTGCGGAAACTTTATTTGAATAACTACTTGAATGATTTGGAGCCATTCATTTGTAGCATTTTGTAGTGTCCTGATTTCATGGAACAAACCCTTAGACATGCAAGTAGAATCCTAGAAAAACTTCCATGGGATAGTAGTGTCAAGAAAGCCAAGTGTTGAAATGAAAGTGATTTGACCATGCTCCATGATCAAACTTGCGTCTGTATTAAAAAAAGAAATTTCTATGTTGACTTCTGTAAAGTCCTTTCAGCAATATAAATGCATTCATAAAAATACCTTTTATGTGAAATCAGATTACAGTGAAATCACTCCATCAACAGCTTAAAGAGTTTCCTAAGCAGAACGTCTCGTTAAAATCAAACTTAAATGAAATAAATTCAAATGCAAAACAGAACTTAAATGTTAAAGATGCACTAATATGAAACAAATTTAACAAAGAGGGCTTGCCCATGCCACAATTTTCTCCTTAAATGTAATTTCTTCCTCTACCCTAGATAAAAAATGAAAGAAGAAAATTCTTCCACTTTGCCTTGGTGCATTCACTTGATCAGATAGCATTAAAATATATTTCTCTATCTAATTTGCTGTTGGAGTATTATGGGATATGTTTCTTTTTTTCTTTTTTTTTCCCCTTTTGATTAGCAACAAAGAAAATTGTGTTAGAGAACTGCCGATGGGATACAACTCTTATGCAACCAAAAAAAAAAAAAAAAAAAAAAAAAAAAAAAAAAAAAAAAAAAAAAAAAAAAAAAAAGAGAAAAAGGTACAAAATAGAGATCTAACACCGCTTTTTTACAACCCAAATAACATTCGATCCCATCTATTGATAACTTTAAAATTGCTCCCTTGAGACAAAATGTGTCTTTTCATCCTCAGTCATTGACTTCCATTTTTTTGTAGGTTTAGAGAAGAGAAAGCGTTAGGGAATGGGTTAGACCTCATCCTCTTTTATATTGATACTAATGAGTAATTACAGAAGTGTCATAAGGCATAAATTATGGGCCAACCCATTACATTAATCAACCAAATAAGAATAAAATATTCCTATTCGAACACTCTCCTTCAAGCGGGTGCGAAGATATTTCTCATGCCTAACTTGTTAAAAATGTTATGAAATGGTTTGCTCCCTAATCCTTTGGTGAGAACATTTGCTAGTTGGTCTCTAGTCTTCACAAATGGAGTGCATATGGTGCCATTAGTGAGTTTTTCCTTGATGGAGTGTATCAATCTCCACATGCTTGGTTCTGTCATGTTGAACTGGATTATGAGTTATGTTGATTGCCACCTTGTTGTTACAGTACAACCTCATGGAATCGGTCTGATGGATCCCCAAGTCTCCCAACAATAGTCTCATCCATAGCAACTCACATACACCTTGAGCCATAGCCCTGAATTTTGCCTCAGCACTAGATCTAGCAATCACATTCTGTTTCTTACTTCGCTATGTGACTAGATTGCCTCCAACAAATGTGCAATATCCAACAAATGTGCAATATCCAGAAGTTGACCGTTTGTCAGTGATGGACCCAGCCCAATCCGCATCAGTAAATGCTTCCACACTGAGATGTCCATATTTTGAGAAATAGAGACCCTTTCTATGAGAAGACTTTAGGTATCTCAGGATTTTCATAACTGCCTCTAAGTGGGAAGTTCTAGGAGCATGCATAAATTGGCTAACCACGCTCACTGCAATGGCAAAGTTTGGACGTGAGTGGGATAAGTATATGAGCTTACCCACTAGTCTTTGGTATCTCCCCCTGTCCACTGGCTCACCCACTTGATTCTCACTTAGTTTCTGGCCAGGTTCTAGAGGTGTATCACATGGTCTACCTCTAAGCATCCCAGTTTCCTTTAGTAAGTCAAGTACATACTTTCTCTAACATATGAAGATACCATTCTGGGATCTAGCTACTTCAATGCCCAAGAAATACTTTAATTGACCCAAGTTTTTGATTTCAAATTCCTTACCTAAGTATTCCTTCAACCGAGGAATCTCCTCAACGTCATCCCCTGTCAGAACAATATCATCAACATAAACAAAAATAGCTATAGTTTTACCATGTGAGAAGTGTTTCACAAATAAAGTGTGATCAACTTGACTTTGCTTGAACCCATATCTCTGCATAGCTTGGCAAACCTTTCAAACCAAGTTCTAGGAGACTGCTTTAGCCCATAAAGTGACTTCTGGAGTCTGC